TCAAGAACTTAAATTAAGTCTTATTTTGGTATTCTCCAAAAGGCTGAAAACCTTCTTTACAGAACCTACCTACACTGAGAAAAGGAGCCTCTTTTTTCTCCATAGTCATTTATTGTCTCTGACAGTGGGTCAGAAAGCCATCAATAACCTCAAGAAAGACAGCAACATGGGGCATCCAAGAAACACCTGATTATATTGACTCTATGCTTCTGTCTTTTTTACCTTATGGGGGGGGAAATAAAACAATTTACCAAGTGGCATTTAATTCAACTGCTGGTAATGGTCTGCAGTGTCACAAAGAGGTCACAAAATTAAGAACACGCTTAATTCACTGAGAAGTTTCTGCTTAGCCCTGAGATGCAAGTACAGGTACATCAACTCAGCTGCTTATAGTCTAGCAGATGCGCATCAGAGAATAAAGTGGGTTTTTAAGTGAAAAGTAAAATGTGGTAATATCATGCGTAACTGCAAAGGTAGGCTTGCAAAGGTGTGACTTTTGTTTGTAGAGGGCCAGATTTTAACCTCATCTCCTGAAGGCACTTCCATATTTATGTAAAATATTTATATTAATAATAGCTTTTTAAAAATAACTAAACTAAGAAAGTAAATCAGCAACAGTGAATGTTAAAGAGTTTTCTGAATTTCCTGTCTGAAGAGAGTTATGTCAAATAGTAATGACACATTTCATCAAATTGATTAAAGATTTGTAACTGGTTTATCTGAAATGTCACAGATTAGATAATTTTTCTGTATACATATATTCTTTACTAAGTTACAAAGGAGCATGGTACATTGAACCTGACTTGACATTGCTTTCTAAATCAAGTAGTCACATCTGGGGGTGTAAAATGCCGCAACCTATGTTCTGGAGTTGAAAACTTTTTAATCTAACATTCTGTCATAACTATTTACACAGATTTGAGTAATAAAGGTTAAGAGAGATAGGGAATTGGCTTTATATAGATGTTATTTTTTCCTCTGTAAAGACCTCTTAGCTCAAATTTGTGTGTTTTTTAGATCTTGTAAGAGGTCATTTGCACTAGCAAGAGGGATTCAGAAGTCAAAATGGTTCACAGTCTATTTAAATATATTTCAGAACTTAAAGGGTGAATGTAATTTGGCTTATCAACATTGAATACCACAAAGCAAAATGAACTCAGGAACTCTAGATGTTTGTATAATCTCATTACTGTTACTGATCATTAATATGTTATAGTGACTGCATTTTATCCAGTGAAATGTATATGGGGAGCATTACAGATTTTTAAGTCATGACTTGTATTTATTCATTAAAATAATATCCAGTAGTTACTTTTATTGTTTTTAGATTATGGAAACCTAGCACGCAACTAGTACAAACACCCAGTCTGGCAATGACACTGCCAGAAGGTATCTTTGACCAGATGCAACAGAAGAACCCACCTGCCCATGTAATTGGGCAGCCCTTGGAACATGCTCTGTCGTAAGAGGATAAGACATGCTCTGATGATGACAGGTTCACACAATCACAGACTGGTTCACGTTTTAAGAGACCTCTGGAGGTCGCCTGGTGCCACCCAATCTGCTCAAGTAAGGCCACCTAAAGCTCATTTCCCAGGACCATGCCCAGAAGGTATTTGAATATCTCCAGGGATGGAGACTCCACAACTTCCCTGGACAACTTGTGCCAGCACTCGGTCACCCTCACAGTTATGATGTGAGAAGGTGAAAAAAATTTACGTATTGTGCCATCAGGGATGGCTATATTTCAAAGATGGTTATGGGGAAATTCTGTGAGGTCCGGCCATTTCTCACAAATAGCTTAAAGGTTATACCGGAGACATTTTGCAAAGCACGATCGTGCAAGGGCATACAGCATGGAGATAATTCTACATAAATCTGAGATTATCTAAGAAACAATATCAGAAATAACAGATTTGAGTAGGGATGTAGCAAAAATGGGACGAATGGAGAAAAATTTAATCAGAGGTGGCTGGCTGCTTTGAGAGGGAATGAGGCTGGTAGAGGTGAAAAAAAAAGGAGATAGGAAAAGGGGAAAGAAAGGGGATCTTAAGGGTAGCTAATCATAGGATGCGGGATATTTAGGGTCCATGGCAGACAGCCATGCATCTGATTGCAGTAGTTTTCAGTACAGCAATAAATCTGCTCTTTCCACCATCGGTTGACCTGCTTCCATGGCCAGGAGGGACCTGGTGTCTTCCCTTGTGAAGGGAAGACACTGACACTCACCAGAGAATGCTTGGAGGAGACACCTACATTACCTGCCCTCCACTGCCTCCTCCAGGAGACAAAGGCAATCCATACCACTGATCCACTCTGACCTGAAAACTACACTGGTAAATAAATCATTTAATCAAAAGATGAAATCAAACACCATGTTAATGCTCTTAAATTACTTAAAACAGGACCATAATCACTGAAACTACATTTTTTTTTCCTAATCATACTACTGAAAGATGAAATAAGTTATAAAAAGTCCCCATGACAGCTTTGCATTGATTTTGTACAATCTTTTTTTTCAGATCCATTCCAAACAAAATCTATTATAGGGCAGACATAGGAAAATCAAAGGCATTTTGCTATTTCAGGTGCACGCCTTATTGTAGACAGTTTCATACATCACACCCCTCTCCATGCTAAGAAACAGCATCATTTTTTTATGCATAACAAAGACCCAAACAAGTGCAAAACTGACTTTTGCAGAAAAGCTGCATTGCTTCATGGGATTTTCCCTCAGGAAAGCTGTATCTGGTATTTATTCTCAGTTTCATGATTCTTAGTCTGTGTGTGCCTCCTTTTTACAGTAAAATTAAAACCACGCAATGATTTTGATGTCTTGGAACAAAAGCTAAGTTGCATCCCTTCACAGGAGGTCTAAATGAGAAATCTGAGCAAACCACCAGTTGCATTTTGCATCACTTCATCACGCATATAAAAGTACATTTTTAACTCACTGCTATTACTGCTCACTTTTTATTTTATCAGTGTTTTTCACAAGAAAACTAAATCCATTCTGACACTGTAAGGATAAGTAATTAGCGTTACTTCGAAATAAGTGGGGGTCTTGCTTTTGCCAAGACAGTTGTCTGCACAATCCCCAGGAAGAAAATTGTTGTTGCATACACCACATTAGTGGGAAGAATTGATGCTCCTGCCTGATCATTGCACTTGCAGCTGTTTTCCACTATTTGATGTCCTGCTGTAGGGCAAAAAA